TTTACCCAACACTCTAACCTCACATGTCTTCATCTCTTTAGTGCCAATGATCTCTGCCCCATTTCAAACTCAACAATCATTACCAGGGTCATCTCACTATTTGGACCACTCTGCTTTTGAACTATTAATAGCTCTAAATTCACACCTTAAAAACATCTTCCTATTTTCTCCCCACTCTTCCTCTTCCATCACCTCTGCTCTATCAAGATCACCATCCTTTAACCCTCTCTTTTTTCCTCTCAGCCAAAGGACACTTCTGATCTCACGTTTTTCCCTAGTCATAGAAATCTTCTGTCCTTTCTTCTTCGAAACTAAGTAGGTGAACATTCCTGGGAAAAATAAAATGGCACATATAGACACAACCATAAAATACTCTGCTTAGGTACTGCCAAGGTATTCAGCTCTAGCCCTAACCTTCCCCCTCAACTCCAGGCCTCAACTTTCCACCTGCATCTATACTTGGATGTCTAAAAGGTACTTAAAACTTATAGGCCCCAACAGAACTCTTGCTCCCAACAATCTCCATCACTATCTGCTTTCCCTGGTCGTCCCCATTTTAGTAAAGAGCCACATGATCCACCCAATTGTACAAGCCAAAAATTTTGGAAGTCATTTCTGTTGTTGTTGTGTGTTTTTTTGGGGGGGGTGGTAATTAGGTTTATTTATTTGTTTTTCAGTGGCAGTACTGGGGGTTGAACCCAGGACCTCATGCCTGCTAAGCACACACTCTATCACTGAGCTATACATACCCTCCCCCACCAGAAGTTATTTTGATTCTCCTCTCTCTTGCTCACATTTTATCCATCACCCAGTCCCCTCAACTCTGCCTCTAAAACATATCCGAAGCTACCCACTTCTTTCCATCTTGCACTATTATCATTGAGTCCCAGCCATCAACATCATAAATTTGTCTTTTGCTCCACCAATGAGTTTTCCATAGAGCAGCCAAGGTGATCTTTGAAAACACTTACCATGCCAGGCATGAAACCCTCCAAAGGCTTTTCAATGGACATTAAGCAAAATCCAGGCTCTTCAGCCTGGCTGGGGTCCTGTCAATTCTCTACTTTCCTCAGCCCAAGTAACTCCTCCCTTCCATGTCACCTGGCCCCTGTGAACTTCTAGGTCCTTGACCATGTCAGACTCACCCACTGAGGGCCTCTGCACTGGCTGTCCCCTCTGCCCAGAATGTTCTTTCTCCACATCTTCACAATGGTTTCTTACTATTCAGATCTCAACCGACCTGCCACCTCTTCAGAGAAGCATGTCCTTGACTGTCTCATCCACAGCTGTGCCCAGTAATTACCACTTCTCCCTGTTTTAGTATCGTTGTACTTATTCCTCACCTCATTTTCTGGTTTATTCATTTTCTTTCTTGCTTACAGTCCATCTCTCCCCACTAAATTCCCTAAGAACACAGAGGCTGTCTGATCTGTTCACAGCTGCATTCTCAAGGCCTCAAGCACATAAAAAGAGTGCAAGGATCTATTTAGCTAACCTCACAGTGAGTCTGGTTTCCTCCAGGGTTCTGTCCATGGAGCAACACTTCTTGAACTCCCTCTGGTGAAGGACCAGTTTCTTGTAAAATTTTTCTAATATGTTATAGACTGATATTTTTGTAAAATACAATTGAAAAAGAGTTACTGGAAAATAAAAACCCAAGTGGACAAAATACTAATGCCAATTTTTAAAATGATTAGATATAATGGATGCAACATTTTTAAAGCCTCTCAATTTCTGTCCTGATGTCTTTGCAGACTGGTAACAAGCGGGCACCAAGTCTGCAGGCCACATCCTGGAAAGCAGACCGGGAGCCAGGGAAGCCCAAGGGAGCGGCTCAACTTGGGGCCAGGGGAGTACTTGTGACCTTCAGAAGCAACCATATCTCAGGACTGATGGGGCACACTTCTCTCCCTCCTCAGGAAACCGAGGACAACCAGCCCCCTCACCACTGCCAAGCATGCCTCGACTACCCGACTAGTCACCAGTGGAGACGGTAACAGTGAGGATAAGTGGCTATTTCCTCCCAGGCTCTCCTCTCAAGGTCACTGTGACTGAGAAAGAGGGATGAGGTTGGACTAGAGAAGCCTGCAAGTACCTGTGCAAAGGTGGGACAACCCAAGGAGGTTGCAGGACAGTAGTTTTACCAGATGAATGTCAAACTCCTCAAAACTACATACATCATGTAGCTTACCACTTCCTTTCTGGAGCTCAGTCTTGCTAGATCCAACAATTTACCTAGGGGCAGGAAACAATCTTGCAGAAAGCAGGGGACAGGCAGCTGTTGTCACCCCGGGAAGTTATACGATTATGCGCTGGTGGTCTTAGAAGAGCCCTTTACACACTGATTCTGCCCAGACTTATATTTCTCCCATCCGCTTTGGGGCTCCTTCCAGTTTCACGACAATCAACAAACTCCTTTCTGAAGCATGAGGATACGCTAAATGTCTCCTCCTTAAAGATCTCCCAGTATCTTTCACATGCCTCTACTACAGCTATTAGATTTGTCTACCAAACTGGCTATAAGGTTCTCTAGGATGGGAGCCACGCTCAAGTAATCTTGAAATTCTCAGCAACTAGCACAACTCCCTCAAAATCTAAATGATAAACATCTATAAAGTCATGTTCAATTTCAAAAGAATAATTAGATGATACAAATAAAAGAGAAACCTTGAGATCATCAAACTCAGCACTCTGGTTTTACAGAAGAGAACTCTCTGGTTCAAAATGGTGAAGTGACTTAGCCGAGGTCACAGAGGGAGACAGGGGTTAAAGGGGACTCCTGCCCTTCAGCAGACTCATGGACAATGCCTGGTATGCAGAAAACAGTAACTACTGGTGGAATGAAGTCCTTTCTTTAAATTCAACAAGTTATTAACACGTGCCAGAATCTCAAAATTTCACTATACCAACAGTCCCCAACTTCACCACAATGAATAATCTTAAGGCAACAGACAGAAGAGAAGGAAAATAAAAGAGCACAGGCTCTTACTTGTGCTCATCTTTGCTGAAGTTCTCTGTGACTTTCAAGGCACAGAGGTGTCACACTGTCAGCACCTTGCCGCAGCTTCCTGTCCTCTAAAGAAAACGATTTCTATAAGAGCTCAGTGTGAGGGCTGCATTTGCCAAGCAAAAAGATGGTCTTGCTGGTGGTGTTAAGAACTAATTAGTTTAATAATAATAATAATAATAATAATAATAAAAAGTTATAAAATAAAATAAATTATTATATATATTATGTTTACCTATTTTAATAGGTTACTTTATGCATTATATAAATATATAATAAATCATATTTACATGATATGTAAAATATATATTATATACGGTATTATTTTAACATATATTGTTATAATAATCTATTATAATATATAATAATTTTATAGTATACTTGTATCATATTTATAATATTTTTATATAATATATTTAAACTATAATAATATGTGATAATTACTATTTTTGCTGATATTTATATATTATATATTTTATTCGAATAACTTCTGGTGTGATGATCTGTTTAGTTATGGAAAAGGGACAGCATGGAGTTAGAAACAGGGGGTTTACTTCTGACTCTGCTGCTCTCTGCAATGAAAGACACGGTGCTTCCCTTCAGCACCTTCAGACTGAGAGCCCTCCTCTTAAAATGCCGGCACCAAGGCAGAGAGGCTGACCCCTTCCTCTTCAAACTATAATTGTAAGTGTCAACCTTGAGATAACTTTCTAGAAACGGTTTTATGGAGACAGATGAGAAACTGGTTTTTTAAAAAGTGCTACTTGATAATTCAACAATTTACTGGACCAATTAAACATGTAGATAGGTCGGTAAAGGGAACAAAACCACCAGAGCATACAAGATAAATAACCCATCTTACCTACCTGAGTGATGCTCTCACATCACGTATATAGAGAAATATTTCACAAAAAATGCAATAAATCTTTGCACGTACAAAGATCAAAGGGATAAAAAAGGAATGAAATTCTCCTTTTGGGGGAATGGTGCCTAGGAACATTAATTTTTTTAATTCATTTTTTTAGGGGGGAGGTAATTAGGTTTATTATTTATTTATTTATTTAATGGAGGTACTGAGGATTGAACCCAGGACCTTGTGCACGTTAAGCATGTGTTCTACACTAAGCTATACCTTCCCTCTGGAACTTTAATTCTTAAAGAACACCATAGGTAATTCTGATGCACAGCCTGGTTGAGGAGCGTTTCTGAGCGTGATGTGGTAATTACTGTACTGCTATTTAACAAATTTTCTCCAGTTTTTAACTCTTTCATGTTAATAAATGATTACTGTTAATATGTGTACTTTTTTTCATATGTACCATGTGCTTATGAAGAAGAGCACTGTAGTTTGTAATTCTATTTCTTTGTCCCGAGATCACTTAGCACTGAATTGAGCATGTAATAGCTTTGAAGGACTTCAGTGTGAGTGAAATGTCTGGCAAGAAAAGGCATGCTTTGAGAGACAGCACCAGACAAAGATGCTGTGTGGTGTCTTTCAATAAAATAGCATAACCCCATGCTCTGGGGAATGGGCCAATTGATGGAGGCATGGTGGTTCAGTGAAAACTGATATGACATTTAAAGTCAGCAGATTATCTGTGCAGACCCTGGTGACATCATTTGATAGCTATATGCTGTTAGTATCTTAATGTTCCTGTACCCACACTTGTAAAATACTGTATGCCTCACAATGAAGTCTGACAATAATGAGGAAAAAAAAACCAAACAAACCACACAGAACAAAGACAGGACCTGACACCAAATAGGCACTCAGTTAACGCCGATGTCCTTCCCAAGAAAGAAAGGTTATTTTCATTCTTAGAGAAGAGACACCCCAACTCACCTGGAACGTGGTTATTTCCACCTCTTAGGAAGGACAGACTCCTGGAAAAGTTGAGTTAGGGAAAGCGAAAAAGCCACGGGAAAATCAAGTCCACTTTTCAGGATACTGACTAACCAGTCCAGCAAGATTGTAGGAGAAAAGCTGCTCAGCTCCTGCTACCTTCGCACACCCTCTCCTGAGGTGCCTTTCCTGTCTCTCCCCGCTGCCCCTCCCTCACCTCTCTCCACTGGGCTTTGGATCAAACAGACCAAGCCTCCCCAACAAACCCACGAGGGTAGGAAAATCCCACCGCCTCCAGCAGCTCTAAGAAGTGTCCATTTCCCCAGCTTTGCGGTTTTCGCCCTGAAGTTCTAGTTAGGGCAGTAGGCGCTCTCCGGTTGGATGTGTCGCCCCTGGGGAGAGATTTCGGCTGCCCGAGACGCCTTCCGAGGCCTGACTCATTTCTGGGGTGCAGGGGTTCTGATGCAATCTCTTTTCAGCGAGGACAGGGCTGTGGGCACGTAAACCTCGGTCCCTCACAGAAGCCCCTGTCGGTCCCCTAACGTCCACCGAAAACCTCCCTCGAATAAGGGCAGTCGCCAGCGCGGAAAAGGCCAGTGTGGCCAACTACGAAGCTACCAGGCCGGCCAAGGCCGGAGATCAGGCAGGCGAGTGGAGGGCCCCTCGCAGCCGCGGCCGGCTCAGCGCTAGGGACCGCCTGGTCTCAGGTGACGGCAGCCGGGTCCCGGGGCGCCCGGACACACGTGCGGCCGGGATCGCACCTCCGCCAGGACGCGCGCCCTCCTACGGCCGCCCGGCAGGCTTCCGGGTCCCTGCGGCCCAGCACCGCCCCTGCCCCCGCCCCGCCCCCGCCGTGCTCTCACCACCCGACCGCCGGCCGCCTCTCTGGGGACTGCGCTGGCCTCGCGAACCGCTCTCACCCTCCAAACCTGGGAGCGCAGAAGTCGCGATACTGACCTGCGTCAGGGCCCCGAACTACAAGTCCCAGAAAACCTCGGGCGGGACACGCCCACTTCCGGCGCCGGCCCCCGGGCTGCACAGGGCGCCGCGCCCAGGGCAGGCTCCCCTCTGCAGCGGAATGCTTTCCGCTGTTCTTTGAGGTGTGCGATTAGTTCCTTCAAGTTTTCCCTCTGGTTCTTTATTACAGATGCGTAAGAATTATTTCAGGAATGCCCATTAAAGTGTTTTTCATTTTGTTAAAGTGCTACTGGGAGAAAAGAATTTAAATATCACGTGTGACTTTGTCTTTACCTTTAAAAATATTTTGAAATAAGTATCTCCACCTCACCTCTGAAGTTCATTCATTTAGCAAACATTATTTGAAGGCATCCTAAGTTCCAGAAACTGTTCACGACGTTTTAAAAATCACTGTGAATGTTCAATTCTAGTGGGATTTCTGCCTAGAGCAATACATAATTACGATAAAAAGTATAGTGTATTATACGGTTATTTTATGTGTTACTGGAAAAATGGAGTTGAGTCAGGGGACTGAGGGTGCTGGTGTTGGGGTTTGTGGGGTGGGACGTGCTTTGCAATTTTAAATATGGGATACTGGAACAAAGACTGAGGGGATGAGATAATCAGTCAGGTGACACTCAGCAGTCAGAACTCTTTCCTAAACGTACACAGACATAACTATTTACACATACAGGTTTTCTTTGTAGACAAAAATGGGGTCATGCTGTATATATAGGCCTGCAGTTTGCTCTTTAAAGTTGGGTGGTACTAGGTATCATAAATTTACATAGAAGCAAGCCTTGCCCCTGAGGCCCTTTTGGTTGTTAATGCCTTCAAGGGAATGCCACCAAAATTCTCCCTGTCACATGTCCACCACCTTCACCCCTCACTGAGTGATGCAGGGCCACTTGGCATCTCCAGAATACTTTCCTTTTGGATTTATCCTGAGGGTAAGAGAGCTGTTGCCTGGATCTCTCCTCTGTATCTTTCCCCTTCTTGGTGTATTAGTTTCCAATTGCTGCTGTAATAACTTACCACAAACTTAGTAACATACAACAAACTGATTTATTCTCTTACAGTTTTGAAGGTCAGAAGTCTGAAATCATTTTCACTAGGCTGAAGTCAAGGTGTCAGCACAGCTGGTTTCTTCTGGAGGCTCTAGAGGAGGATCTGTTTCCTTGCCTTTTTCAAGGTGCATTCACAGCCTGTATTCCTTGAAAGCCCTGGGATCTACTGCTTTCCTAAACTTCCCCATTCATTCATTCTATCGCTCTGCCCTCTCACCCTTTCATGTTCTCACGCTCCTCCTCATCCAGTTTAGAGGTGATAGCTCTTCATTATGGTCAGTCTCTTGCCCCTATCTTACTTGGTTTTATTCTCCTGATAGAACACCAAATCTAGTTGAACCCAACTGCCTGCCTATTCCATACCTGTACCTGTGGAGCAGATGTGGCCTGAGAAAAATACATGGCTCTGATGATTGGTCTCACTTTGCATTTATGACCACTGAGGTCAAGTGGGCTCTTAATGCTGCCCCACTATCCTGTTACATTTCCTTAGTCCATTCATTCTCCTGAATGACTATCTTATGGTTTCTCCTCTTTCTTTAGGTCTCTGACATCTCCTCCTGCCACTTCACACACAGCTGATGACTGTCGCTTTCTACGAGAAAAGAGAACTTCTGTACCCTCTTGCAAGCACACCTGCCCACCTCTCTTCACTGGAACCTGCATGCTTTACTTTCCATTTGGAATGAACAGCCCCAGTTTCTATTTAAGAAAACTCTCCATTTGTACCCTGAATCTTATCCCCTTTCTCATACACGAGGGCGTTCCCCTCTCTCTTCTGTATTACCAGTTTTCATTCTATAACAACTTGGGGGGTCTTCATTTGGCCTACATCTTCTGCGTGTTAAGGTCTTGGAACCTGGAGGAGCACGAGTCAGGAAGCACCTGAGTCTTTAGGCCTATCTGGGGAGCCTTTGGGAGACACATAGAAAGAAAGGTGGAGGCACTTTCCTTTCCTCCTGGGTGACCTGCCCTGGGATCCCGGCCCAATGCTCATCTTTGCCTATTAAGAGCACTGTGAAGTAGGGTTTCTTCCTCACTTTTCTTAGAATGAAGGAACAGAAGATGAGAGAGAGGCAGTGACTTGCCCAGGATCCTGTTTCTTCTTCTTTTTAAAAAATTTAATATTATAGCATTTTCTTTTTTTTTAATGGAGGTACTGGGGATTGTACCCAGGACCTTGTGCATGCTAAACATGTGCTCTACCACTGAACTATAACCACCCCCAGGATCCTGCTTCTGGTGGTTGGAGCCAGGATCCAAACTCAGCACCTTGCGTATTGAATTGAGGTCACTTTCACTATAGCACATCCATCTGTCACCTCATCTTTTCAGGACATCACATATGAAACAGGTTAGAGATGAATAAAGGAGTTTCTGTTTGGACCTCTTAGGCCCAGCCTCCAAGTCCAGCCAGCTGGGCAATCACTCCAACATGGAAACACACCAGACCAAGCTGGGTGGTGACACATGCAGGTCTGGCCCCACTGGACTCCTAGAAAAGCTGGAGAAACCACAGTTGGAGCTGGAAAAGGGAGTCTGAGGCTCCTATGTAGATTAGAGCCCTTTCCCCAACCGGGCTGGCTCCTGGCTGGAGCAGGGTCACACAGAGCTCCCTCCCTCCAGAACTCTGTGAGTTCTAAGAATGTTTCCAGCTCTATTACCCAAACGGTTGCCAGGGTGTCCTCAAAAGCCATGGAAATGGAGAGCATGATAAGGAGGGTCTCATTCAGACCTCTTTACTTTTCAGACTGAGAATTGAGGCCCAGAGAAAGGGAGAGAATTATTCAAGTGCACCCAGGCAAGCAGGAGGGGAGGGAGGAGAGAAGTTAGTCCTCCCCATTAATGAAGGGCTCTTGGTGTTGTCCCACTAGGGGGTCCAGAGAAGATGGCCTCAGGGCTATAGAAACTCATCATCCTAGTGCACGTGCTGCTGGATGCAACTCGGCTTCATTCCTGCCCTTATTCATTCCCAAGCACGCAGTGAGTATATTCTGTGTACCTTGTCACACAAAATGCTGTTTCTCCACAGGGCTCCACCAGCACTGGGACAAGGAGAGTTTCAAGAATTTTCAGCACAATTGTCTCTCCTCCCACATCAGCCTTTTCTTCTTGGTTGTTGTTGCATTTCTCACTTTATGCACACTCCGCATGTCGACTTCCTCAAAGATGTTGGGCACAGCCCACAAAGGACACTAACGAGTAGATAACAACTTCCAGGGAGCCCCTCAATCCAAGGTTAAATGTATCACAGGCTATCCCTTAAGATCTAGAACTCTTTAAACCAAACATTTGTGGCTTTTAGATGTTGTATTAGGCAAAACAGAAATAGACTCATAGACATAGAATACAAACTTGTGGTTGCCAAGGGGGAGGGGGATGGGAAGGGATAGACTGGGAGTTCAAAATTTGTAGATACTGACAGGCATATGTAGAATAGATAAATAAGATTATATTGTGTAGCACAGGGAAATATATACAAGATCTTGTGATAGCTAATAGCAAAAAAAAATTGACAATGAATGTATGTATGTTCATGTGTATCTGAAAAATTGTGCTCTACACTGGAATTTGACACAACATTGTAAAATGACTATAACTTAATAAAAAATGTTTAAAAAAATAGATGTTGTATTAGGATAATAGAGATATTTGGGGGAAAAAAAAGATCTATATGGAATAAGGAAGGTTGGGTTGCCAGATTTAGCAACTGAAAATACAGTATGCCCAGCTTCATTTGAATTTCAGATAAACAATGAATAATTTCTAAAGAAAATGTGTGTCCCCTGCAATGTTTGTCTGAAATTCAAATGTTACTGGGCATTCTGTATTTTTATCTGCCCACCCTAGAGGACAGGTATGCTTCCAAGAACTCCTTGAAAGACTCTAAGTGGGTAATTGCTGCCTTGTAGGCTAACCCGAAAGATGTGCTAAGCCCTGCTTTCCATTTAGTCACTAGCTCAGAGAAAGAGGATCTGAGACTGGCTGCCCAAACCCCCTCAACAGGGGGAGTCCTAACCAGCCCCTCCTGGCTCACCCTGGCCTCCGTCTTCTGTCTTTTCCGCATCTTCAGTGAAAACCCACACCTTCTCCATTTCAGGAGCCAAAGCAGAGCAGATGAAAACAGAGGCTGTGGAGTGATTTGGCCTGTGTTCAAATACAGGCTCTGTCAACAGAAAGCTGCACCATCATGAGCAAGTTTATCAGTGTCACTAGCCCTAACGTCCTCCTCTGTAAATGAGGCTCACAATACTTGCCCATTTTGGGCTGTCGTGAGGACGGCATGAAACAATGTGTGGAAGGTAGTGATCACCATGCTGGGCAGTAACAGCGGTACCATCCTCACTATTAACCTTCAAGCGGCAGCAGTCACTAGGGACACGCTCTTGGAGATGGGGCCACCACGGAGGAGGCTTTGCACCTGCTCCTGGTGTATCTGCCCTTGCGCCTGCTCTGTGCTGTGCCTCTCCTTGAATCTCTGACTTATCATTTCTTTTATCTCAGTTAATTCTCACAACATTCGTGGAAAGTAGGCAAGCAGAGATTATTAATTGTTTTGCACATGAACAAACTGAGGCTATGTTATTTAGCCTCTCTAAACCTTTCTCATCTGCTAAAACAAACAACCAACCAAACAAAACAACAAAAAACAGGGAGTAGGGAAAAATCCTTATGGCAGCAGAGTTTTTGAATCTCCTCAAATCACTCCTAAAAATGGGCTGTCTTCACATCTCCCCAGGGATGCAAAACAGAACAAAACAAAGCAAACAAATGAAAATGAATCACTAGGCTAGCAGACAAA